GTCCAAAAAAATTTTTTTTTAATATTGATTTTTAAATTGCAGCGTAAATATTTTGTCAACCAAATAGGAACAGACTGAGGAATGAGAAAAGTGAGATTATTTCACTTATTAAATTCGCAATATATTCGCCTACAATCGTTATAAATAATTTATTAACACAATTTTAAATTTAATATGCATTATAAATAATTGCATTAAATAAAATCACATAAATAAAATGGAATCGCCTAACGATATGCAATTTTGTGCAATTAATATTATATCTAAGTTCAAACAAATCGATTTTATTTAAAACTAATATCTGAGTTTTCTTTGGGAATGGAACGAATTTATTAACTTTTAAAATATATCAAATCACAGGAATTAAACCCTTACTACAGGTCGGTTTTGAATTGTATTATTCATGTAAAGAAAAGTATTTTTACCAACCAATTTCGTGAAATTTATTGTTTAAGCTCTGTTTACTAAAATAATGAACCAGTAAATTTTTTGGGAAAATTTTTCGGGTGCTTGAAAGTTACACTTTTATTCTGATTCTTTTAGATGATCGCCGTAAGTGTTTTAAAGATTATATTGATGGAATTCCCATAAATATAACATTTGAATTTTTATTGACAGCCAAATTAAATGGAAAGCTTTACTGAAATTGGATCTCCAAGAATAAGCTTCTCCTAAGAACCAAATTCACTTTAATTTGGTATTTTAACCTAAAAAGCTTATTAGCTTTCATATAATTTGAAGTTTTTGTTTAAAGGACATTACCATGATATGCAACACTTTAACAATGAGATTGGGTTGTTGTGCCTACATCAGATTTTTGTTTTCGATTCTTGAAGTATTTTACAAATGTAGACTCAAGAAGTAAAAGAAAACCCCAATATTCAGTTCATGTAAAACAATCATTTCTAATTTTTGTATGCTAGTCAAATGTATCATTATTTTTAACTTATATAAGATGTAAAAAATATTTACTAATAAAATTGAGTTTTGTTTGACCTTAATTCCAAATTTCATTTTCATATTTTTTTAGGTTAAATTTCTTTATATTTTAAATGTCGTATAAACAAAAGCGAAAAATAGACAAATTTCTCAATGAATAGCTATTTCATTTACAGTTTCCTTAATTATATCATTATCAAGTTTGTAAAGATCAGGGGTCAAATAATGGATCGCCCACTTGTTTTGTTTATAAAAGAAATTTATTTCCTTATTTTTTTACCTACACTTTGTTGTTTTCATCTTTTTTTTTTTATTTTTGAGGATTTTCAAAAAGATTTCAGAAATTTTTGCTTCTTCCTATTTTCAATTTTGTACACAAAACAATTTTTATGTCGAAAATCTTAATTTTTTCTTTTATTTTCATTTTTGTTCTTTAAAAACAACAAAATTTTATTTAAGACCATTTTGAATTTTGGTTTTTTTGTTTTCTTTTACTTCTGCATTTAAAACAATAAAATGAAATTAAATGAAAATCAAAGTTTTTATCTTTAAAAATAAATTTTTCTCAATGACTTTTTTTTTCGTGTTTTGTTGTATTTGGAAAAACAAAAACTGAATTTTCATTCAAATTTTTTAACTTATAATTGGAAAAATTAAAATCATGCTTTTGTGTTAGCAAAGTCCATTAGTTTTGTTCGGTTTTAAGTAAATATAGGAAAACAAAATAAATTCTTAGAAACGTACTTTTATAAGGAAAACACAAAAAAATTTCATTTTATATTTTTTTGTGTAATAAAACTGAACTTATGTAAATGAAATTGTTGTTTTAGTTAGAAATTTAAATAAAACCAAAATATTTTACTTTGAAATTTCGAACGCATATTCGAAATCGACAAATTATGGTTTTTGAAGGCAAGTTGTTAGTATGTAAGTGTTTTTTTTAAATTTTTAAATTTGAGAAAAATTTTTCCGGACTCATTTAAAGAAGTCGTATTGGTCTTCCCGCATGGGAGGACGTCGTAAATTTGTTTATTGTTTCAAAATATTTTACGCCTTAGTTGCGAATTTTAAATGTACAGAAACTATTCTGCTTATCGAAACTGCAATTCATGTGACATTATTTTTATTTATTCTTGAATAAATTTATAAAATTATTATAAATAATTTTCATTACTGATAATTTAATTGAATTTTATCAACTTTTTTTTTCTATTATTAAATTATATTTCGACAAAGTCGTTATGAAAATTACATTAATAATTTATGTAAAACCAAAATGGTTTAAGATTAAATTCTAAAATTCAATAAATATTTTAGGCAAAGTCAGAGTTCTACACAGAATTTTTTTGCCCCTGTTAAAAAATCAATAATTCCTTAATCAGTAATTTTTGAACTCGGTATTAAACGTAATTATTAAAGCATATTAGACTTGACTGCACTAAAACTGAATATAAATATAAACTGGATTAAGGGTTTGAACTGTCTCTTCTCATATCCGATTCAAATTAAAACCCATTTTTTAGTTAATATTAATTGTGTACATTTTGGTTTTTTTTTGTTTCACCAACGAACCGCTATTGTTTGCTTAATATATTTTAATATTTATGCTGCACAATCATCTTACGAAAATAAATTATTTGAAGCTAATAAGATGCTAATAAATCGTATTTCAGCTTCAAAATCGCTTCCACCACACTTAGATCAGATGGAGCGTTTTTACATAAATAAGAAATTATAAATCTTTTGCCCGATTACAATTATGAGCACACATTTCTGAACTATCAGATTGATGTTGAACTTTACAGTTTTCACAACATTTTCCTCCTTTTCTCTCCAAGACTGTATGGGTTAAACCAAAATGTCAAAATTCAATTCATATTACTAATCTTCCATACTAAATAATTTTAATTAAAACGCGACGGCGACAATTTAAACAAAATTATTAAAGTACTTTTCCCAGTTAAATACAAATGAGAAATAAATTATGTATATTGTTAATAATCGAAAATAAATCAATCACAATTAAATTTTTTATTATTTCTATTTCATTTCCTTAAAATTTCTTTCATGTACAATATCAGCATAATTAATATAAAATTACAATCTTGACAAATTAATATGAAGTGCATATTTATAATATAGCCATATATTATTAAATTGTAAAATTTCATTGACAAGGACATGAATTCATAATCAATAAATTGATTATAGGAAAAATTTATGTATAAGTTAAAAATTAAAAGAATTTATTACAATATGGACTACATTATTAAAATGGAAATATTTTTCCATTTCTCACAATTTATTATATTTTATCTATTCGCGTACGAAATCAATAAATTACTTAAAGCAATAATAAAGTTCGACTTTAGACGAGGTAGACGATATACAATTTTAAAATTTAAATTAAAACTTTATTAAATAAAGTTGGGTCAAACCAATGGTTTGTATTGTAGCACTTTTCCCTTCAACAAGTGAAAATTCTGCTTTTAAATACAGTCTATGTATAGCTATCACACTATTAAAATTATTTTCATTCATATACAAAACTATTTCTAGGATTGCATATATTTAGGATGACGCATATATGCAGTCTTTGAAATAAAGCAAAAATTAATATAAAAAGGGGTTAACATAATGCTCGATTTTAAGGGTTAATTGTGTAAGTTAAGAAAAATAATTATATTTATTAATTTCAGGGAATTTACCGTTAGCTTTTTGCGTTTATAAAAATTTGGAAAAGCTTGCGGTTTCGGAAATATAAGGTGTCAAAAATTCAAATTTTACGAATTTCAAGAGGCGATAACTTGAGAGGGGGTGGAGATGGAAAAAAAATTTTTTCCAGCAAAATGAACTATTTATTAATATCTAAAAGCTCCTAAAATTTCAAGCTTCTACAGTCTGGGGTCTAGAAGAAAAATGACATCAAAAATTTGGAAAAAAAGGACTTTAGATAACGGTAAATTTGAACGGCCATTTTGTTTTTCTTAAGTTGAACTATAGTATACCGCGCAAGGGGAAGCAAGCCACTGCCTTTCTGCGTTTGCAAAGTTTCAAAAATGCTTATGGTTTCATTGCAACAAATATTTAAAAAGGCCATTTTTAGGGTTTTGGGGGGGTATAACTTCTAGAGGGAGGGAGATAGGTAAAAATTTTGTTCTACGGAAATAAGTTTCTAGTGAAGATCTATGTACGTATTAAATTTCAGCTTTCTATCTTGAAGGGTGTAGAAGTTTTGTAAACAAAAAAAGTGTCCATGGACGGACGGACGGAAGGACGGACGGACGGACGGACAGAGTGAAACTAATAAGCACTTTTTTCAAAAAATTTTTTGGAAAAGTGCTAAAAACGAGTGTTTGTAGTAAGGCCACTGTAACTCCAACCAAATTTCTTGGTAGTTAAATAAATTCTTTATAATAGCTGCCATAAAAATTCAAATTTAATTTGTACTAACTCCATTCTAATTACAGTAATCAAACACAAACTAATTATAAAAAAGTTCAATAATAGGATAATTTTGAAAAATATTAGAAATGAATATTTTTGAAAAGTAGTGTCAAATAGCTTTTGGAAATTATTGAATACAGGTATTGAGACATTCTACTCTCACGATTTTCTCGTTTAGCTTGGAATCGGAGTTTTATCAATCTATGAAAATATTCAAACAATTTTATTGTCAATTAAGTAGGCAGAATAATATCGAATCTTGCACAAGTTAGTAACACTTAACAAAACTCAATATTAATCTTACAAATTGTTATAATTCTGAAATATTTTACATATAAACGATGTTAGTTACTTCTATACCTTAAAAAAATGTCATATATTCCGTTATGAACTACTTATATAATAACATTTTACATTAGTATTAGTTCGTTATTCTCAGTTATACGATTTTAGACGGAAACTTACAATTTTGAACGAAAATTGACGATTTTAAACGATTTTAAATGCCGAATTAGGAAAAGTACGTTTTAGGAAGGATAACGAGCTTTTGAGATTAGTAAAATTCTTAATTTGAAATTCATAATTTTATAAAATAAGATGTTTGTTTCACTTACCTCTAAATTATTTGTGTTATAAGATTTTTCTCTTTATTCCAAATTTAATTAAAGTTTTTTCGATATTTAGAGTTTATTTTGGGCACAGACGCGAAATCATTAACACAAAAACTTTTAACAATAGTTTTTTTGTTTAATTAACAGTTCTTCACTTTTTTTTTCAAATTTATTTCTATTTTTTAATTTTATTTTATTATTTTCCATTAAATATATAATTTGTAAATTAAAATTATGTTTTTATTTTATTTTTATTTAAAGTTTTTTTATTAATTAAAACTATTTTCATTAACTTGAGCATTTTGTATTTATAATTCAATTAAAATTAAAATATTTTAATTATTTTACACCATTAATATTTTCTTAGTTTTTTACATCAATTTGATTATAACTTCATTTTGGTTTTTTTTAATACTTTAATAAAACATAAACAATTTGTTAATTTAAATACGTATATGTATTTGTTTGTATTGTTATGTATGCACAAAACACAATTTTTACTATTCATAAATTTCATAAAATTTCCTTAGTATATGCCTTTGATGTTTGAATTGAATTCTATAAAAATATAAACTTAATTAAAAATATTTTAGTTATAAAATTGAAAAATAAGCATATTTGATTGTATAAACGCACACGTAGACGCACACATATATGTATATTAACATCATGTTTCGGTACATTATGTATGTATATGCAAGGTGATTCAGAAAGTTCTACACCTTTATAGAATTTTTACCAGCTGTTTAAACTTCAATTTAAGCCCTCAAATATTAAAACAATTTTTATGTTACAGAAGAGATAGTACAAAAACCATAAATATTGTGAGCCACAAATTCAATTAAAATCAAACCAGATGTTGATAAAACTAAAATTAAATTCAAAAATTTTACAAATTTCTCAAAACAAACACCAAATTCTCCTATAAAATTCACCTAATTCGGCAAAAGTTTATGTTTTTCTTCTTTTAAATCCCACATTTCATAATTTAAATTAGTTGCTTTACTGGAATTCACCTTTGGTTGCATCAACCGTACACCAATTTTAGTTTTTGAAAAATTTGTTGAAAATTTATTAATTCCCTCAAATTATTTATTAATTATTTATTAGTTTCATAATTTTAATACCATATCACTTGTAAACTCCATTTTGTTTAAAAAAATTAAATTTTCCTATTAAAAAAATTTTTCTTTCTATTAGAAAAAATGCCAAAATTTATATGGCATGCCTTAAAAATTCGTTTTAGCTGGATAATTTTACTAACTACAGATGCTAAATGATGTCTGGATTTCGAAAATATTTTTTTGAAATTTTTAAATTGCACCCAATCTGAGAAAAATGCATTTGAAAATTTCAAACCATATAGGTACCATTTCTTATAAAAATTGGCAAAAATAAAAAAATTATCAATTTTCTTTACCAAGAAAAGTTTCGAAAAAAAATTTTTGATTACTAGATGTTTTTTTTGTTTTTCGTAATACAAAATTCTAGTTTTTTTTTTTCAAAAATTTAAAATTTTTTAAATTCAATTTTTGTTTTTCAATTAAAAAGTTTGTATAAAATTTCGTTTCAATTTTGTTATTGTTGGTTAAAATCGAGATTTTTTAACAAAACAACGGCTCTTAAAAATGTCAACTGTTTTTCCGAGTGGCTATTGTCATCCTAAATTAATGATAGTTGATAATTACAACGCTTAAAATCCTTGCTTGTAAGGGTCTTTAAAATCTTGACATAGAAATGGTTTTTGTGCCACATTTTCTGTATAACATAAAAAATTTTTTAATGTTTGAGGACTTAAATTAAAGCTTAAGCAGCTGGGTAACATTCTATTTATATATTCTGAAAAAAATTTGAAAGTTTTAAAAAATTTCTTACGAAATTATCTAGCTAGAAAAAACTGAAAATATCGAGGGAAAAATTTTATTTTCTTAAAAGTTCGAATGCTTGGTATTCCGAAGATACATAAAATACAGAATCAAGCAGCATTTCTATTTTAAGTCCTTTACTAAGCCTTTCTGAAACTGTATGCTTTAAGTTCCTACCTTTTTAACAACGAAGTTATAATCAAACAAACCTGGATAAGTAAAAATTTCGTGAAAATTAGTTAAAATCCCTGGAACTCAGAAACCATTGAGATTTTACACCCAGTCTGAAACAAAAATTTTAGCCATTTTCGATGTTCTAACCAATGGTATATATTGCTGTATAACTTTCAGAATCACCCTGTATATAATAAATAAGTGTATTTCAATAACTTGAGTGAAAATTTTAATTAAAATTTTTCAACCATAAAAAATACGAGTATAATTACAACAAATTTCAATTAAACCTTTTTCTATTGAACGCAAGAAGCATTATTTAATTTAAATTATTGTTTAATAAATTTTGAAGCTGCCAATGTAAAAGATCTCAATAAACAAGTGAAGCGTAACATCGCGAATCTTTTAAATAATTGAACACCTGCTATTGTACAAAACTTGTTCGAATTTCGAGTTTTAAAATTTTTGCATGTTTCCTTTATAAGCTTTCAATTAAGAATACTTTCACGGACCAAATACCAAGTTAAGGAAGTACAAGTAAACACAAAATTTTATCAAATATAAATTGGCTTATCAAAAACATTAAGAAGTAGCAAAAACCAAAAACATCATTCCAATTTACTCAAAACAACTTAAAATCACAAAAATATAAATTACATATTATACATACCTATTATATGTATGTATGTATGTATGTATAAAAGATAATATAATTTACATGCAATATACATATTAGGTAAAATAAAATCAACTTAATTTATTTAAATCGGATTAATTACAAAATTGAATTTAAATTTAATTTAATATAATAAAATTTTTTTCAATATCATATATACATACGCATACATACATAATTTATTATATAATTTTATAATAAAATTTTTATTTATCTCTAATTATTTTCAATTCACATAATGTTAATATGGGATAAACTAACTATTTATGCTTCAAATCCTATAAAAATCAAATTTTAAACAAATTTTAAATGGACCAATATAATATGTGAATTATATTTAATATATGCGTTTGTATATTTGTATGCCCATATAATCATGTACATGGATAATTTTGTGAAAAATAATTTTCATTTTTTAATTAAAATTTTTTAGACAGACCTTTATTCAAATTTTCTTTTCCTTTTTTTTTTTATTGGTAATTTGATATAAAAATCTGATGTGGCCAGCACATAACTGACCGCAATATTGATTTTCTGAATAATATTAAAAAAACTCGTATTAATTTATTCATATAAGTTTGACGATAATATTCCACAATATTGTGGAAATACTATTCAAACACTTATTTAAAATTCTATCTTATATTTTATATAAAAATAATGGTATGTTATGTAATTAAACATTGTATACTCTATACGAGCAGACCTTGCTCTTCAGAGAAATAAATAAATCTATAGTTGATATATACATATACATAAAAACATACATTTGGTTCTTAGGTGAGCATAATTTTCTGAGATTCAATTTTGTGGGTAAGTTCTTCAGTTGGTTTTGTTTGAAAACAAAAATTTCAAGGAACCATAAGATTAATAAATTTTCTAGATGTAGTCATAAATGTGAAGTTGGCCTGTACTTAAAATCCAGTTCTCGATTTCTGGTATGTCCAAAAGATTTTTAAGTCAAATTGCGTTATGTCATACATAAATTTGCATTAAAATCAACTCTGTCGAAATTGAGACACGCCAGTAATAATTCAAATTCACACCTTCTTATCTCAAATTTGAATATAGGAAACCTTCTGTTAAATATATTTCAATAAATTAATATTTGGTTCTTGGTTGAATTCCTAGAATTTTATTTTTCTTAATTTTCTTTGAACAGAACTTGATTCCAAATATGTAGAAATGAAGTCAGATAACTTCAAAGTGAGCTAAGTGATTTAAATTTTAGATTCTTAAATATAAAGTCGGCATTATATTAAAAGTGCATTTGCTGAGACCATACTTAGAGTCCTACAAAACTTTATAAAATTTGTCCCAAACACCAAAATAAATTAAAATGTAAATTTAAAACAAAAATTGGAAATACATGAATATATCAAGGGGCATTATTTGCGTTTCTTGGGTAAAGTGGACTTGCTTTGTAAACTCGACACTTGAAATTTGGTGCCATCACAATACCTCCCTGCTTATTTTATATAATTGGTAAAAGTTATTAAATGAATATTATAATAACATACGTTTTACAAATTTATAAATATGCACACACATTTCTGAAGTACGTTCTATATAGTTATAGCTTTAATATAATAAATTTTTATATTTTTAATATTTTGAAAATTTAAAATAAAAGGATTTATAATATTTGAGTACCTTCTCTTAAAAGTATTTTAACCTCAAATTTTTATAATCGCAAAAATGTTTATGTATATTTTTATTTAGATTTAAATACAAGATCTCAACTTATTTTTATTAAAAATATTGTAAAGGAAGGTAAAAATTTTATAAAGTTTATCTTATATAATACTAAGTACATTTTATATAATTTTAATAAATTGCTCAGTCATCAAATAAATCCTTTCAGTCCGATTATATTCCGGAATTAAATTCTATATACCCTTCTTAACTTTCTTTTTTTGGAATTCTAAAACTTCGCAACATTAAACTCATTAAAAATGCATTCAATGAATGTATGCTTGTATGTGTATTGAAACTTTTTACATAATTTATTTTAAATACACTCTAATAATATTTTGAAGGACCGGTTGTTGTCCCTTTTCTATATACTTTTCTATTTAATTTTCATTATTTTATTTTATAATTTTTTAACATGAACAAAAAAAAAGGAGAGCTCCTGACTTAAAAATCTGTTTTCTACATTGTATGCACGATTACATATTAATCTAGATTAAATTTTACAATAGTGGAATAATCCAATTAAAAAAAAAATTTATTCACAATTAAACTTGTCTAACAGGTTGCAAGTTTTTATAAGTATTCAATTTGTTTTGGTTTTGTTAACAGGAAGATTATAAAATTGTTTGATTTTATCCTTATATTAAAAAAGTAAATATTTATATACGAAGGTATATGGGAATTACATTTTATGTGAAAATAATGCAAATTTTTATTACAAAAATCACATTTTAATATTTAAATTTTATAGAAATCGAAATAAATTCTATATAGCCGTTATCACTTTGACAATCGTGGAACAATAAAAAATCCTTATAAAAAATAAAAAAGTTAATTTGTAACAATTGTGTTTGGACTACATTTACACATTTATGTAATTAATGAAAGCTGTATGTATTGTTTTAAATAGGTTGTCTGTGCCTTTAATAAAATTCCCAATTCTCGGGTCAATGTAATGTAAATTTTATTGAAAAATTTTCTATCGAATTTTAATGTGATTTTGT